TGTTCTTAACCATCGCGCCACTCGGCCGGCCCGGTACTTCTTAGTCTTGATACCATTTTTTAATCACCTGCAGAGCAGTTGGACAATATTAATTCCAAAGCCTCAGAAATTCTGATTTCATTGATCTGGGATGGAACAGGCGTGCACTTTTGCGGGGGAGGGGTTTGTTGTTTTGTTCTTCTTGCTATTGTTGTTTTAAGCTGTTCAGGGTTGAGAACTCTGACATTAGGTTCTTTGTATAAACAGTGATTCTCAAAGTGTGGGCTCCTGGACTCGACAGCACTAACATTTCCCGGAAACTTGTTTGGAATAGAAACTTTTGGATCCCTGCACGAGTCAGTGACTGAAACCGCTGAGGAAGGCCTGAGCAGTCTGTGTCTTCAGGCCTCCAGGTGACCCTGAGGTAGGCTAGAGCTTGAGAACTACTGATTCAAGATACATGTTTCCCTACAAATGCAACATCAGCGATGAGAAACAAAATACATTTTAAAATCACCCCAAGAGGCTGTGACAATTTAAAAGACCACTCTACGTAAATGAGAGTACCTCACAAGCACAGTGGAATTATACTTGTGGAAATAAGCATTGTATAACTTTTTAAAATATTTACTTTTTATATGGAATGCTCTCCATGGAATGGACTAAGTTTTTATAATAATCTAAATAACAATAAGCTGTATTAGACAGGAAAAGCACCTTAAAAGTCTGGCATTGGATAAGGAACCTTCAGAGTCAAGGATATCTTTCCGTCTATTCTCAGAGAAAAGCCTATCTGCTTTTTATTTTGAACAGTAACATTTTCTCTTTCTGTTGTGTTGTTTGACTACGTGCCACTTGATAGCTTTGTCTATGCCTATGAAAACCAAGCTAGTGGATAGAGCCAAGGCGTGGAGGAGGCATTGGGGAGAAATATTAGGAGAGTTCAGCCACAGAGCAACTAAAGATGCTGCCTTTCCTTCAGTCAAATCCTCTTTGAGAGCCAGAATCTGTTTTAAGCCCGAAAGATGTCCTTAGCTGATGTATTGTCTAGCTGCTCTGCTAGATGGATGAACATCTTAAACTTGGAAAATAACAAGTAAAGCTCCTTTTCTGTCTTTGACGTGCCATTCTTCGCCTTTCCTTAGAGAGTTGTCAAATAGCTAAAAGAAAACAAAAAGTTTTTAAAGATCTGCTTAAGATGGCAGGTTAGTCATGTGGTTACCATCATAATTGTTGAGTAATTAGAAATTGTAGCTATATACAAAAGTATTTAGGCTTAATCAGAAATGTAAAGAAAGAGGGAAAAATGTCTGTGACAGGAGGAAGCAATGCAGATTCAGTTTCACTTCTCTAGCTCAGTGAATTCAATGTCATTCAGAAAGTTGGTTTTTGTAACTATTTGCTTTCCTACAAAGATCTGTGTTAAGAAAAAGACCACGAAACCAGTGTACAACCAGACACCTAAAACTATTTAAATAAGGAAATGATCCAAGCAGATAAGAATAATGAGTAAAGGTCTTTCTCCTTTCCAATCCATTTATACTCTGTATTTGATACAGTACTGGTATCTCATGGTCCAGGTAAAAGAACAATAATACTAGATGGCATTGTACTGAGCTATTTATGTGGATATTTAAATTATGTTTATATTTCAGTTAGGATGTAGAGGTTTATTTTTCCAGTTTTATGTACTTTCATTTATGGCAGAAATTGCTGTCTTTGGGTAAAACAGTTGAAGCAACTATTAATATAGATGACTCATTACTCTGCATCTTGAATCTAGCCATCTCTTCCAATTTTTAGATCCATATGTATACTTTTTTTTTTGCTAGACATCTTTATATAGATTTCCCTCACATGCCCCAAACTCCACATGTCAAAAAAACAGAACTCATAAATCTTCATTCCCACCCCTATTTTTCCTTCCATCTTTTCAGTTATTGGCACCATTCTCCATCTTTTACTCATTCTGGAGTCCTCTTATATATTTCACTAATGTCTCCTCTCCATTCAGCTCTCAACATTTCTCTTCTGGATTGCTGTAGTAACCCCCTAATTAGTCTCCCTGCCTAAAGATTTGTTCTGCTTAAACCAATGCTTCACACAGCCTCCAGATATTTTCTAAAAATACCAATCCACTCATATCATTTCTTTCTTAAACTGTTCATTGGCTCCCCATTACCCATACAATAAATTTTAGACTCTTTATCATTTTGTTTTAGACTCTATTTTCTAGCCCCTGTAATCATATTTTTCACTTCCTCATATATTACATTTCATATTACAATAATACAGAATTATTTTCAGAATCTGAGATTTGATTTTACCCTATAAGCTAAGAAGGTACTCTATTACTGTTTCATGGATGCTGACAATAAACAAGAGACTCCAGAGTCAGAAACAAATGAGTTTCCTACTCAGAGCATAGCAAAAAGCATCAGCACCTGTATGTCTACATTGGTTTCCCTCACCGCCAAGAACCATGAGCGAGTTGCAGACAGCCCAGATGGATACTGCATATACAGTGGGTTTCCATTATAGCTGAGGAACATTGAACTTCAGGAATCTACTGCTTTTATAGTAAGCAGTAAGCCCAGAGGAAAATGACCTGATCCCTCAAGTTGATTGCTGCAGACACAACCCTGAGAAGTTGCCTAAGCAGAGTGGTCAAGACGTTTTGCATTCTTGGCATACAAACATGCAGGGATGATCAGTATGCATGGTAAATTGCCTCTTCCAACAATCCATCCCTTAGCCCTACATGTTCTTGATAGGAGTATGCCATTCCATCAGCTACTCTGATTAATCTGACCAACAGAGACTGGGAACAAATGTGTTTAATATGTCGCATACAACATTTAATTAATAGGACTCCAAGCGACAGGATGAAAACAACCTGCAGTATTGACTTCAGCTACGCCCCTTAGTAACCTGGACTAAGACAAGTATAAATAAGCATCAAAGTAGACAGTAGGTCTTATTTTATACAACCAGGATGTACTCTAAGGCTAGTATGGTATCTATTATGACTCATGCAAGGAAGTTTGACTGACTTGCTGATCTTTGGTGTCATTGCCAGTAATTCCAGGAGACACTAGATGGACTAAAAAGCAATCCAAACCCAGTAAGGGAATCATTTCATGGCCCACTCCCCACCATATACAAACATATAACCTGAAGAGGCACAAGACACCTTAGTTCAGGATTTGTTGTTAAACTTGAATCATCATTACGCTGCTTTGGCTAAGCCACAGGTAGTAACGCCAAGTCGTTGCAGCTTCAGTTGTCATACATAGCATAACCCAAGGCTTCTCATGCATCAGGAGAAGCATATTAACCTGTGTCCCTCATATTAAACTAAGGCTGTGCCAGTATCTCTGTTTGTACATGTACAAGAGGGCCACAGTCAGGAGTTGCTGTTGATTGCATGAAGCACAGCAGAAAAATTTAGGACCATCATGTCCACATTAATTTTTATGTTTCATAGCACATGGATGGGGATGACAAACACAAGTAGATCAGATTGCTAGCCTCAGCTACTGTTTGACTCAGGCAGCAAACAATATCTTTTTGTTTGTTTGTTTAACCCCAGGATGCAGTACTGGCCCCAGAGGACAAAGAGAGTATTAATTGTCATTTCCTTCCCTCTACCTCCCAGTGTCTAAGTGGCACCCTTCTCAGATATGAAGTTGTTACTTCCTCTCCTTAGCCACAAAATCAGTCTGTCTCAGCTATAACTCTTCACCTTTCTCCAGTCATCCCCTCCTTACATCCATAACTTTCATCTAGAAGGGTAGGTGCCTATGGGATAAATGGACAGGGACCCGTTATATCCCCCACTTTAGCCCACAGGGACACTGTAGGAGGACTTGGTGAGCACTGAGCTCAGCCAAGTGGTTGTTATAGATGTTAATGATCTAGGACCACGTCAATTTTAAAAGCAAAACCAAGTGGCTGAACCAGAGTTAAATTTGAATCTCTAAGCCCCCTTTTGGCTAGACTGCCACCCTGGGAATGTACCAACCAGGCCAGCTGAGATGGCTCTCAGGGAAAAGAAAGAAACATCATAACCAGGAATGGGCAGGGAAGAATCCCAAATTTTCAAAATAGGTGTATATAATCTTTCATCCTTTTGTAATGATTACTTCCCAGGAGGCTGCTAAGAGGAGATGAACTCTTTCTGGGGGTCCCACAATCAGTAACCAAGGAGCCTCCCTTAGGTATGTGGACCAAGAGGAGTTAACTGAGATAGAGTCAGAAATCTTTCTGAGTTTATTTCCCAGGAGGCCGTGCCAGCTCTTGACAGTTTCGATGCCTGAGCATGGTAAGGAGCATAGCACGTCCATCAGATACCTTAGCTATCGGCTCAGTGTTGGACTATGTTTGTGACAAAGGCACACCATAGTCAGATTATGACAGTCAGGTAGTATCAAACCCAAAACTGTAAAACAGTTTAGTGTCGAGGACCTCAATGCTGTGGGTGGTTAGAGCAATCAGGCTGGAACAGCTACATAGTAACCTGAAAAATGTCTGCAGTGATGACGCACAGGGTGGCTTCGAGAGGGAATGGTCAGAATTCCCCGCCAGGAACAGGCAGGGGCAATGCCCTGTGCAATGCGGTGTCCCTCATCACAAGAAAAATAGGTCAACCTAGAAGAAGAACACACAATCTGGTATATGTTTGTTATCTAAATACATTGTATATTTAAATAATTATCTCCTGTATTAGAATGTTACTATGGTAAATGTGTAGATTTAGTAAATAAATAAGCACAATGAATATAACTTTATTGTATTAAATAGATACCAAAAATTATATTTTATATTAAAATTTGTTTTAATATTAAATATAAGTTAATATTAATTTATATTAAAAACACCTTTTCCTTTGTGCCGGTTTCTGATGGTGGATTCATTGCCGTGGGCAGTGCGGCGATGGGTCCAGGTGGCACATGGCCAGTGTAGGCTTAGTCAGCAACCTGGTTCCAGTCAGTTTTATCAGAGATTAGACCCTTACTGTGGGATCTACCTGAGTAACCCAGACTGTTGGATTTGCAGCTACAATTTGTTTCCACAGTTTTTGTCTCCAAAGAGAGGTGTCTTTAATCTGTCACCTATAGTCCTTCACGTGGCAGATCAGATGACTAGAGCATTGACAACAGCCCAAGCATTAGTAAAAACAGGCCCTGTCTTTAGGAGTAGTGTCTAAGGTAAGGATGATGGCTTCCATTTCAGCCCACGGGGCTGACTTGTCCTTACCACAGGCATTCTTCCAGAGTTGTCACTGAGGTTGGACTACCTCCCAGTTGAGGCTGCCTCCCATCAGTAAACCAGGCCGAGGTATTCAGGGAGGAACCTCTGTGCATCAGGGGCACCATTAAGCCAGCAGCTTTGCTTCAAACAGTGGCCACCTCTACACCCGGG